CATCTGCCCTTGAATCTTCTGTCTCTATACACCCCCCTCGCCTCCCTTCAACACCAACATGCGCGTCGCTATTGCAGGCTCTGGTGACTTTGCTCGCTATCTCAGCGAAGAACTGGTCGCTGGCGGCTTTCAAGTCACCATCCTGACACGCTCCGTCAAGCCTCACTTCGAGAATCGTCCCGGCGTCACGCAATTTGTCACGGACTACTCGGTCGCATCCATCGTCAAAGGCATCCAAGACAGCACCGTCCTCATCTCCGCCATTCTGGACTATGGTGCCACCTTCGTTGATGTCCACCTCCGTCTCATCGATGCGTGCAAACAGAGTCCTGCTTGCAAGCGCTTCATCCCGGCTGAGTACGGCGGAAATCTCGAGAAATTCCCAGACCAGCCGGGCTTCTACTACCGTGTCCACGAACCTGTGCGCAAGGCGCTGCGCGAGCAGACTGAACTTGAGTGGACTCTCATCGCCGTCGGCTGGTTCATCGACTATATCATGCCCAGCCACAGCCGTTACCTCAAGGATGCTGGCGACGCCTTCCCCATAAACCTCGTGGACCGCAAAATCCTTATTCCCGGCACGGGTGATGAGCCCCTCGACGTGACCAGTGCAAGAGACGCCGCCAAGGCAATCACCATGCTGGTGCAGGCTCCGAAGTGGGAGCACCACACCAACATATCTGGAGAGAAGACGACCTGGAATACTGTAGCGGCCCTGATGCAGTCCAAGTATCCCGACTTGACGGTAGAACACCGCAGCCTTTACCAGCTGATCGAGAACATTGTCTCGAGCAAGGACGATTTCACAACTATCATCGCAGAATACCAGATCTTCTCGGTGAGCCAGGCAGGATCTTTGGATCCCGCCAAAGTCGCCGCACACCGTGATGCGTACTTCCAGGGGGTCAAGTTCCGGTCTGTGCAGGAGATGCTGGAGGACGCTGAGAAGCACCCGGGAACCATTATCTGAGGGCCATAGTACAGTCCTTTTTCCACTTTAGTCTTTCAAATTAAAATAAAAGCAAGTCAAACTGAGGCATTCGTGCCAGCATGTGAGGCCATGGTTCAGGCGCTGTATTCGTAGGCGCCCCATCTCGTGACTTCCAGATCTCTTCCGCAGCCGACCGAAGCACGTTCCAAGTCTCGAACCCCAAAGCCACCCGCCGGGCAATGGACGCCCTTAGTCTGTCACGCATATTCACGGTCCTGGCTTCGAAGGCTATCGTTGCGTAGATCCAAGTACTGGGGTTTTGATCTTCGTTTGTAGCGTCAAGCCTCTCGATAAGGTGGATGCATTTTGCCACCAGCGCATCAATATCTGCTTCAGACCCACGTCGACCAGATGCGCACTTGAAGTAGAGCAGGCAAGCGTGATAAAACAAGAAGCCATGATGACGGAGTGAGACCTGCTCCTCGCCTTCTGTCGTTGTGTGATCAGAGACTGGTGGCGTGGACAAAGCAAACTCCATCTCGAGCTGATCCAGCTCGCCAACATCCATGGCACCATCAGATAAAAGAATCGTGTTGAAAGACGAGACCAAGCTCAGTAAAGTGCTTGAAAGCCCCTGGTCCTGGAGAAAGCCATGACCTGCATAGTCAATTGCCAGAGGACCGGGGACCTCAACGTAACCAACATATCGGGATTGTATCAGAGCCAAGAAACCAGCATATGATTGGTATGTGATGGATGCCGAAGTCGATTCAGTCCACATCTCGATTCTCGTGTCTTCAAGTAGGCTGCGAGTCACCTTAACTACCTCGCGCCAGGTGCCGGGCGTGCCACTGATGAATTGCGTCATTATCCATAAACACAAGGTCCCAAAGCTTGCCAAGCGTTCGCTGGGCTCGGCACGATGCATATTGCGCATGAGGTGGAAGTAGCTTTGTCGACGATGCTGAAGAACTAACACATTGTTCTCCAGACCATCACCTCTTAATACTGCCTGGTGTGTTGCTGAGGCGGCGCAGACGGCGTGGAAGAGGGCAGCTGTGCTGCTGGAATAACTGTTCGCTATGCGGCTTCCCTCAAGTGCGATGGGCGACAGAACGGCGAGGTAGGGGTTAGTCGGGGTGCGTATCGGCATCCACTTGTGACTAAGATGCAGCACCCAGTGGCTAATCAGCTCCCGGTGACTGGAAGAAGGGAATATGTCCAGTGCTCTCGACGGATGGCCCAAATGATTGATTGGCATTAGACATGTGTCAGAAGCATCGTTAGAAGCTTGGTTTTGCCACATGGTTGAGATGCTGGATGGTCTTCTTGGCCGTGGAAGCGACGAAAGCGGCATTCCATGCCAGATTGGATTTACCTCGCCGTGGCTGGCTTCATCATCGATGGAAGCACCCAGAAAGTTCGCTTCGTCTGCTTCGATGTTGTTGAGGTAGAAGCCTGAAGGACTGGGGCTGTTGAGAGCATCCGGTTGCATGTGACCACCTCGTTGTGGTTTGATGATGCTCGTAGTTACAAGAACGGAGGTATCTTGCGCATGCAAGTCGTCTGTAGACTGGGCTCTACGTCCCAACGAAGCAACACTGACCCCTTCCAGGAGATTTACGTATCTGCAGTCGGGCGTCGCTGTGCGACGGGGCAGTTCATGCTCCTCCCTTACATTTGCCAACTGCTTTCCTGCCAAAGCTTGGGTGTTGACCGGGTCATGGCTTGTGGTGGGCCCAGTAGCTTGAAAGACGGAGAAGGCACCTTGATTCTGCGAGCCCACGCTGGAAGGGCTGGCCAGTCGGTTGGATTGATAGTGATCAACGTGAGCCCATGCACGCTGTGAACGACTTCGGCGGTTGCCCGTGGTTGGTACCTTGCCAGGCTGGGTGACCCAAGCTAACCTGACTCCGTACCCCCGACAAGTGAACCCTCCAAGTGTACAACGTCTGCAATGGGGGCGTTGTTCGTCGCACTTAACGTGCCGATCACGACAGGTCCAACATCCGGTAAACGTCTTGCGTCGCCTGGGGCGCTTCAGCTCAAGGTGTGTTTCTGGCTGGGTTGGATCTTGAGTCGTAACAGGCCGTAACCCTTGTACTGGCAAGGCAGTGGGACCTTTCGTTGTGTGCGGAGAACCCATTGTTTGCCGGCGAAGAAATGAAAGGCGATCGATGCGACGTTAGCATTGATGGCTGCTAATGACGATGTTCGTCCGTTGCTTCGGAGTTTGATGGTACTGGAGTCACCTCAGTGCTTAGTAATTAGGTTCACAGCAAAGGCAGCGAACAGACAAGACTTGGGACGTCTATCTATCTACTACATCAGCAATCCCCCAAGCTCGAATCAAAGGCAAAACGATTGCCATCAATCATCCCGGCCACAAATGAACTGTCCTCACACGCCACAACCTTCACAGGTCCTGGGCCCTTCTTCAAGAACACTGGAAGTGACTTGGTGGCGACTCTCGTCTTTTCCTCTGTGCTCGGCACGAAAGCCCACGTCCCCTGTCAGTCTGCCATTTCGAGCTGCTTCACCCCACTCATCGGGGGGTCGGAGCGGGCGACAGTGTCGAAAGGGAAATCATTATCTCGGTTGTCGTTTTTTTTTCTCCGCAGTCAAACACGACGATCGTGAGATTGCCCAAAGAGAAGGAGGAACCTCTGCTGGGCCCCTGACCCTGATGACTGAACCTCCCTGTTTTCTATTAGCGAGGAAGCCACAAGTGAGGTGATTTTCCCACTCCTGCCACTGCACCAGGCGCGGGATGGTCAAATGTGGCAGGAGGCCCTCGAGTAGCGAAGCCGATTGGCAGGAGCTGTCCTCCTTGGGCCAATGGGGTGCCGGTTGCCGTGAAGGCGGTTCCAGCCGTGGGAAGGACCCCGACATTCTGAAACGAACTAATGTGCAAAAGGGAAGGGATGCCGTCGAGGAACCTCAGATCAATGTACTCTTAGGCGAGGTCCAGTGCCAAAGGCACTCGTATCCCACGTACACCGTGGCTCCCCAGTGCCTGCGTCACTCCAAACTGCTTCCAACTAGTGCCCACGACCTGTTGGGCTCCTAGTGGTGGTGCCTGGGGGCGGCTTTCTGGGAACAACGATTGTCAGGATCTGGTCAAACGACCTTCTCTCTTTCGAAGCCTTCCTCGGACGAGGATGTGCGAGACTGCTTCTTCGCGCCGCGCTTGTACTTTGTCGGATGCAGGGGTGAAAAGGACAGGGCAAACGGCCAAACAGGGGGGGAATACAAAGACACTTCTTTGCCCAGATGGTTAGCTGTTCAACGAGCGCAGCGTTCAGCGTTGCATGACGAGCACTGGCCAGCGTGCACTCCCAGTTGCCAGCTTCACCTTCACCACCACGTTTGGGCTTGGACGTTGCTTCTGTGCTGTCTGCCGTTCATCCCGCCGGCTGAGGGCCACGACTTGCCACCACCGCCTTTTCGAGGCCTGTTTCATCTTCGTGTCTATACTTGTTCTTTTCGTTCATTCATTCATTCATTCCTTCTCTTCTCTGCACATCTTGCTGGGCCTCGAGCTCCTCGAAGCCGCACAACACCAGACGACAGCGAGGTATCACGATTACCCGCCCACCCAGTCATCGGTCGGATTGACCCCCGCTCCGCGATTCAATTCGAGACTGACTACTCTCTTGAGCCATCAAAACGAGGCAGCTGGTACTGTGAGATTGCGCCAACTAGGAGGGCCGGCCCTATTGTATCCCTAGCATCAACCGTCTCGGCATGATCGTCGCCCGGATCGACCGCCTGTCATCAACACGTATCGTCGGCCGCTGATCACCTATTCCCCTTGTCAAGCCTGCGTCATCCACCCACACGCAGCCCAGCCGGCAGTCGTCTGATGTCTTGTTCTTCCCCGCAAACCTAACCAACAAGAGGATTCTTTTCACCGACTGAGCTCCTCGCTCAGTCTGCTTCTCAACTCCCACCGCCTCGACCACAACAGCACGTTGTACAACGTCTGGGTATCATGAGAGTTTCCCTTGGCGGGATCACAGTGTCACTCCTTAACATCTTGACTAAACTTTTGCCCACACACATTCCTTGCCCCATATCGTTTTACTTTGCACCCCTTTGAGGCCATCTGGATGCTTCCTTGAGGCTGGGCTATCTTTCCGAACGTGCGTTCACACATCTCACGATATCCTGACATCTCACTTGCCTTGGACCGACACGATGGCCATGAGAGACAAGATGCCGGCACCTCTGGATCTGAGCAGGTCTAAGATCTTCACTGGGTCCCCGCGCATGAACCTCAGACGAGCTGCCTCTTACAACAACGACAGGCATCATTTCGACAAGGCGCCGCTGTCTTCAACATCATCCCGCTTCAACTTCAATCACCTCCTCTTCACTTCGCCTCCGCCATCACCCAGTCTTCCTGCCCTGGTGCCACGACCGCGAAGGTCACCCACACATCCTCGGCCAAGCCGGATGCTCCGCGGCCTCCTTTGGCTCACTTTCTTTCTGCTCATTTTCTACTTCGCTACCATCACCATTCGAGGCAATGTTCCAATGGGCATCCCATACCTCACAAATGAACAAGAATTCGAGATGATCGGGCAAGACGATCTACCCGACTTTGCCACCCCGATCATCGTTACAGACACGACCGGCAGATCAAAGTGGACCGTCTCGATCCCACCGGATTTCGAATTTCCACTGGGCGTGGAGGACTATGGAGAGATGATCGGGAAGTGCCGTGAAGTAGCCAGCCGTGTAAGGGATATGCGGAACAAGAACCCGCCCCCGTTCCAGACTTCCTTGGGCAGGGCAAGCCCCTCGGACAAGTACTTTATCGACGTTCCTGACGCCGAGAAGGCTGGTCTTCTTCCAGGACTGGCTGAGAAGACTGTTCAAACCAGTCATATCATTGGGGAAACCGGGGAGTCTGTCGGAAAGAAGGCCGTTTGCGAGGGCACCATGACCTTTGTGCTCGAGACGGCAGATGCTGGCCTGGGCAACACTTTGATGGAACTTTGGCTGTTCTACGGACTTGCTCTCAAGCAGGGAAG